TGTACTATGGCTGATAACACTAGAGATGACTTCTTGGGCGAGTCTTCTGGATCCTCGCGAAGTTCTTTAGACAAGATGAGTAGCTCGTCTAGTATTTTGGAGGTTTTTGAGGATGAGCCAGATTAGCTCGAACGGCAAGTGAGGGAGGTGACGTGGAGATGGCCCCTACTGATCAAGGTGGCATGTTCCCTCCCGAGGAGAACGAAGACCTGCGGTCCTGGGTCACCCAAGATCCTTGGGACAGGCCCTCCTACTTTTTCGAGCATCGGGATGATGTTTTTACCGAGGGATACATGCATGAGGATAGAAACTGGGGAGAGTGGTCGTTGTACATTCTTGGAAAAGATAGTGGGATCTGCTCGAAATATGATCAATGGCGGATTTCCATGTAAGACATCTTGTTCCGGAAGATGGGCCTCCGGCTTCCTTTCTCCGATTTCGAGGTGGCCGTATTCAGGCATCTTCGGCTGGCTCCTTCCCAATTGCATCCGAATGGTATTGCGTTCATGCGAGCATTCGAGATCGTTTGCGACTACCTGAAGATTGGGGCGACCATCGCTTTGTTCTTCTACTGCTTCCATCTCCAGAGGAGCAAGATCGACGGCAAATGGGGATGGGTTGCCTTGAAGCAAGGCAGTGGGAAGCTGTTTAAATCCTATCTGGAGTCTGTCTGTCATTTCAAGGACAAATATATACTGGTACAACCTTTCTCGAGCAAGGCGATGTTGAATGTTTTTAGGACCGTACCAATATATAACGAGGATGGTGTCCCTTGTTTGAACGAGATGGGAGAGCCTGTGAACAAACTGAATTACAAGTTTCCTTTCCAGTGAACAAGGAAGCACTTTGATAACAAATTAGGTTCCTACGTCTAGAGGGAGGGAGAGCTTGGTGTCGAGGACCAGGAGAGCTTTGTCGTCTTGGCCGTATTTATGGCGCGTATCCCTCAGGTTCAGCGAGTGGGTCAGAGAGGCAGACCGATGACGGATAATAACGGGGAGGCCGTATACGATCCCAATTTGATAGTTGTCAAGGAGCTCTTAGAGAGCGGGGATCCCGTCAATATTTGGGTATTTACGTTTTGAATAGTTATGTGTGGTCGATGCTTTTTTGAGTCCTTGTTTTCTAACTATGATTCTTTTTTGTTTGTTTTGCAGATAGCATGAATCCTTCCCAAGAATGTATAGTCAGGACTCTTGCTGCTAGAGCGAAGAAAGATTTGAAGGACGCTTAAACTGGCTCAGGGGTCACTCCTACTTCAGAGTCGAGAGATTCGTCTTTCAGCCAAACTACGGTTGCTCTCTCTCTCCTGCTCCTGTATCCTCGAAAGCGAAGAGGCAGTCTGCCAAGGGAAGTGTCAATCTGATCGGGGAGAAGGGGAAATAGATGTACGACCTACCCCTTTAATGGCTGGAGAAAGCTTTCTTTGAGGGCGTAGCTCTCCGACTTCCTCGGGCCGAATCCCTTCACCTCGAGGGTTTGGACCGCCTGAAGAAGAGGGTGATGTTGGCACAGGACGTCGGTGGTCTAATAAGGATTTTGGAGATGGTTGTTGCTTACACCGAGGGGAGTTCTTCGCAGGAGGCAGAGTTGAAGAAATTTCGGGCTAAGCTGGCCGCGACCGAGAAGGGGCGGAGAGATGAGGAAAAGGCCCGGAGGCTGGTCGAGAAGGATTCGGGGAGACTCTCTGAGGAGCGCATAATCCTGTTGCTCGAAAACAAGGTCCTGGAGGAGAAGGTAGCGGACATGACTGCTGAGATTACGCCCGCCGAAGACGAGCCAGAGGACACTAAGGATTTAAGGACTCGGGCTGAGAATGTTGCTCATTTTCAACTGGCAGTGGACGATGCCCAAGCTGCCTCCGATGGGAGTTTTGAGAATACGATGAAGTAGCTTCACGTGCTGAATCTTGGGGTCGAGCTCAACACCTCTGGTATGGGGGTTAACTACTATGTCATTGCTGGAAAAATCCTGATCCCGGACTACCTCAAAGAGTTTTTTGCTCAGCCTTCCGGGGGTCCTACTCAGTTATCGCCCGTTACCGAGGAGAGAATAGAAGAATGGTGCTTCATTGATTTTCTCATTATGTTCCAGCCTGTGTGTCGTACTGTTGTAATATTATTTTTGGTTATATGCCTGTTTATGTAATTACCGGTGATCAAAACCTGCAAGGTGGTCGGATGACGATCTTCTGTCGGGCAGGAAAGTGGAGGAGGAAAAATGGGGGTTGTACTTGCAAGGCACTCCGACGATCAAGTAAGTAAGGGAGCGAAGAGATACAAGCAAAGTGTTAGGATTTTAGTAGTGAATAGTGAATATTCGATATTTGACCCAGCATGTCTGAGGGTATATATAATTCCCCTGGCGCGTAGTCATTGGTTCCTGTTTTTGGGCCTGGATATGTGAGTCTATAAAAATAGGTAACTGCCAGGACTTGGTCATATTGAGCATGTATGTCTGTAACTAGCCGTTGGTTCCGAGGAGGAGGTAGATTACGGGTAATGATCTGGTCGATTCCTGGTTGTCTAGGCAACTTGATGTCGGGCGGACTAGAAGATGCTCGTTGGTCACTGTGGGTCGGTGTCGGTCTACGAGAGTAAATGATCGATTGTGCCCGATAGGAGGCAGGGAGGATTCATGTCAAGGTCGTATAGGCTGCGCCAAAGAGAGAGTCTAGACTGGACCCACTCTGACTGTTGGACCAATCCAAAACAGAAAGTAATATGGATAAGCGATTTGTCAAGGTGAGAATGGTGGGGGGAAGACTTGCAATGGAGGATAAACCTCTATTGAAAATGAAACAACCACCATATTAATGATAGAGAGCTCTGATGACGAAGGAGAGATTCTTATAGCAGAGAAGACGACACTCTCAGAGAGGAAAAAACTCTAACTTTAGAGAGAGTTGTGAGTTTTTTTATCTAAACATTTATTTTGTGTTGTTGTAGCATCACAGAATTAATTATACTTAAATCATCTAAAATTTCTAGGACGATTTATAATTTAAAATAGAGAAATAATTATTTTATTTTTATTCTAATAAAAGATGATTAATATTAACACGTATCTTAATGACAATAATTATTAAATTAATTTTAAATATTTTTTTGAAACACATGCATTCATTTTTTTTATATAATTTTAGACACTATTTAATTCAATTATGATAATCTAATATTGCAGTATTTTTAACTTGTATATCTAGAGTCTTTTAAAGTTGATTTTTGGAGATTTTTAAAGGAGGAGATTTGAAAGGGTGGGGTCTATATTTTAAATGTGTGATATTTTTAAAAAGTTTAAAAAGTAATAATATATTAATATATAAAATTATATTGTATATTAGACTTTTTAAATATCAATCATATATCAAAATATAATTTTTCAAAATTTTTCTCCAAATTCTAAAAAAAAAAAAAACTTAAACTTTCAAATAGACTCTTAAAAAATCATATATTTGCCATCTAAATTCTTATGTGGTTTGTTTCTTATGTGGTTTGTTTAAAGGGAAGAGAGGATTTTGAAGGAAAAAAAAAGAAGAATTGAAAGAAAAAATTGAAGGGTTTTGATTGGAAGAGTTTTGGAGGTTTTGTTTTTATATATAACACTAAAAATTTCTTTAATTTGAAAGAATTCAAAATTTGTATTGAATGAGGGATTTTGAAGGGCTTACATAAAATTTTCAAATATATTTATACAATGTTTTAAAAATTGGACCAGTCATTAAACCAGTGAAGATATTGGATCATTGGTTTATTAGTTGAACACTAGGTCACTGGATGAACCTCGTGACTAAATCGAATTAAATCAAATATCTCGTTATAATAAACCAGTCTCTATAATAAAACTATATAGCTATTTAATCGGTCAAACTGAAAGATTAAAAAATATCACGACACCTACAAAATTTTGAAATTTCAAAATATCATAATCTCCCAAGTTCATTCTTTAAAGGGTTAAATAAATTTTTAGTCCCTATAAATATATCAAAATTTATTTTTAGTCCCTCTAAATTTTTCCTTCAAACAATGATCCTTATAAACTTTTTCATCTATATATTTAGTCCCTCCCATTAGTTTTCACTAACGGGTGCTTACATGGCACTGCATTTGTGGATTTTTTAAAATTGAATTTCTAATGTGAGATTTAAAACTTGTGTTTAGCGAGTTTGAAGGTCAAAATGTTGGAAACACTTTAAGAAACCAAACACCTTCTTCTACCTATTGCGTTATCTTGACCTGGAACTGTGAACACATTCAGTTGCAACTCGTGCGTTGTTGTGGTGGACCCTTTGTGTGCATGATTCTTTGTTGGAACGATGGTCCCTTCCAGGTGAAAGCAACATTGGTGGTACCCTTTTTTCGAAACATTCATCTCGCGGACTTGCATGTTTGTCCCTTTCTCACTTTGCTTTAAATACCAGGTTGTATATCTTTTAAAGCAATATAGTTGGCAAGAAAAATTGTAGAAAGGGATTCTAACAAACAATACAGCTTGTTATGCTCATATGGTGCTGAGTTGAGGAGGGCTTTAGCTAGAAACACTTTCAAGTTAAACATCATTACTCCAGCTCCAGAGTTGCAACCAAAATTTGAAGATATTATATGTGTTTTAAAGGGATACAAAAGGCTCTAACAAAATCTTGCAGACCTTTTATTGGCTTAGATGAATGTCATTTGAAGAATAAATATGAGGATATATTACTGATTGCAGTTGGAAGGGATCTTATTGATCAATACTTACCTATTTCTTTTGGAGTTATTGAGATAGAATCAAAGGATTCATGGAGCTGGTTTTATGAAGTTGCTTCTTGAAGACATTAGAGAAAGCAAATGGTGCTTTATCTCTGATCAACAAAAGGTAAGTCTTCAACCCATGAACTATCTTGTTTACCAGATGAGGCAAACCAACATAAATGGAAAAGGACAAACATTAGTCATAGGTGCAAAAATTGCCTTGAACTTGGCCATAGTGCTAGGACTTTCAAGAAAAATAAGCAAATTATGCTTGTTCCACCTAAGAATGTAAGACATGAGATGCCTACTCAGGCTAGTCAGACTGCCAAAGCCAATGTGGCACCAAAAAGGGTATTATTCTAACTTTAACTTGTGTTTATGTTTAAATTATTATGTGTTTTACAAGGGTATTGTCCTAACTTTATGTGTTATATCAGGGGAGACCTAAGGGTTCAGTCAATGCTAGCATAAGTAGGACAACAACAAAGAATAAAAAGCCACATAAACCTAAAAAAAATTGATGTGGAACAACCTTCTGTCAATATTGCAACCTTCTATCAATGTTGATCAACCTTCTGTCAATGTTGAACAATCTTCTGCCAATGTTTAACAACCACATACCATTGTTGAACAACCTTCTGTCAATGTTGATCAACCTTCTACCAATGCTAAACAACCTTCTGCCAATGTTTAACAACCACATACCAATGTTGAACAAACTTCTGCCAATGTGGATCAACCTTCTATGAATGTCTTTGATAAGTACTATGACTGGGATGCAGAGACATTGGAAGCAATTCTGAGTAATGAACATGTATTGGACATTCAACCAATAAGTATTGACAACTCACATGTGAAGTCAAGTACAACAAAGATAAATCCATCAAAGGCAAGTGCATCAAAGTCAAGCCCAACAAAACCAAGTCCATCAAAGTCATCTAGTATCAGAACTTTATTTTGGTAAATAACCAAAAGTCTTCAAACCACTAGGTGTTAGGACATTTTATGAACCAAATCCAATTAACATCGATTTTGTGAGTATACTAAGTTCAGGTTTTTCCTTATGTGATTTATTTATGTAATTTTTCACTAATGTCTATTTCTTCATGTCCTAGGTCAAGAGATTGAATCCAACTAACAAGTTGGAGAAAAATTCTGACTTGACAATTGCAACAAGAAAAATTGACAAACTAAGGATTCTAAAATTAAGAGACATAAATGGACCTGATAAAGAACCTAATAATACATTAGTGATTAGTGGATATGAAGAGACTACAATAGATGTCATTGGTGGTGCAAATATTTCGAAAAGATGGACAAACATTTGTAAGGGCCTCACACAATGAAGAATGTGTTGTTAATGTTATTTATGTTTTGTACTGTCATATGTTTGTGTTTTGAAGATATTTGAATGGTGTTATATAATCACCATGTCAATTGTAATGTGATCAATTATGTTTAATATTTTGTTATGTACTTCAATGGAATGGATCAATGTGTCAACTTTACTGTGACCAACGTAGCATAATGACTGGAGCATACACTCTTTTGAAATTTATTGTAGTGTCATCAACTATTTTGATATTTAATGAATGTATTTTCATCAAAATTTATGTATTGTACTATTATGATTTAAATGGTGTTGTGTAATATTGTCATCATATTGAAAGGAGTGTCACATGCAAATTTGAATGTACTGTCATAGGCCAAATTAAATGTACTATCACAGGGCAAATTGTGAACACTATCATGGCCAAACTATGTGATCTGTTTGGCCAAACTAAGATAAATTAAGGCCAAAGTACGGGAAAACTATAGAAAATTAAGGCCAAAATATAGGTTTTTTTATATAATATTTTAGTAAAAGTTGAACTGTCAGCAAACTATGGGCAAAATAAGTTGAACTGGCATTAGGTTCTGTGTACTGTCAACAAATTAAGACCAAACTATATCATATGTGTTGGCCAATATTATAGGTCTTTTGAAACAAAACATTTGAACATATTATTGAACAACATTTTGAACAACAATGAGAATCAATTTGAACAAAATTATACGTCTTTTGAACAACAATTTTGAACAACATTATAGTTAAATTGATCAACATTACAAATTTGAACAACAATAGACAAACAATTACAGAATATTACATTACATTTGAACAACATTTAGCTAACAATTGAACAACCTTACATTAACACCCAAACCATATTTCAACAACATTGAATCATCAACATTTACATTTCAATATCAAGTACATGTTAAGCATAAACGAGAATACAAGACATATTGACTTGAATTTTCTAGAAAATGCCCCAGACTTCATCTTCATCTATAGTTTCTTGTTCTTCTTCATTGAAGATTCATACAACTCCTTCAACATTTCAAAAGCTTGCATCTCCTTCAAGTTGCTCTCATCTTTGCTCCAATCCTCATCAACAGATTCACAAACCTCCTTTCCTTGTACTAGGTCTTCATCCCATATAATAAATTACAAGTTTTCTCAATTTACCAAAATGGGCATCTCTAGAAAAGCTTTCCTTTTTTAGGTTCATGCTTGTGATGGTATGATATCATAAGAACATTACACACACACTTTCTCCCTGAATGGTTGCTCCCAATTGTATAATGAGAATATCCTGATTTACCGCACCTTGGGGAAGATGCCATGAGCAGTAACGCCAAGAACACGACGACGAAGAAGAAGAAGAAGAAGAATGAACGAGAATATTGAAATGCAACAACTAGAACGAGAAGAAGAACAAAACAAATGAGAAGTAGATAATTGGAACGGAAAGAAGAATGCAACGACAGAAATCGGGGTTTTCTGAGAATATTTTTGGAAAATTATATATTTAAAAAAAGATAATCCAACATGTATTTGCCAAGTGTCAAAAAATATGACCTTTGACCATCCATGTAGGCAACTGTTAAGCCATTTTAACGGGAAGGATGAAATTTATGGACGAAAAAGTTTGGGAGAACCATTGTTCGAAGGAAAATCTTAGATGAACTAAAAATGAAATTTGAAATATTTATACGTACCTCAAACATTTTTAATCCTTCTTTAAATTCAAGTTCTAAAAATAGTCATCACACACAACAAAATAGTATAAAATATAAATACAATTAAATTTTGAATAAAATATAATTGCAACATAAACCGAATAACAAAATAGCGTGTCTAATCAATTTAATTCTAAGAAGAGAAACTTGTTTCAAATAAATTTTGAACAAAGCCTACCTATATTTTATTTTTTAAATTATCAAAATGACGTCGTTTTGTCTGGAAAAAAAATATAAACATTTAACTCGTCGATTCTTCGATTTTGGCTGGTTCTGGCCGGTCCACACCGGTTAAATATCTTATTCGGTTCAGTAGTTAGACTAGATCAATAACCCCTCTAACTCTCACTTCGACCGATCGATTTGATCTGATTTATAAAACCCTGATTTTATATTATTATAGTATTTTGAAAAATATAAATATAATAATAATATACCGTCTTTTATTATTATATACAAAATTATTCTTTTAAAAAATTATCAAATACTTTTTTAAAATTGATTTTCGTAAATCTTCCCGTATCCTCCATATAAGAATATTTATCAATTATTCACCAATGATACTTACTGAATCAACTTTCTTTTAAACTATTTATTAATTTATTGTTATATTATAATCCATTTCTTTCTGAAAAACATTGTACCTTGTTTTCCATGTTGCCGTCCTGGAAGTGGTTGTCACGTTTGTTTTTTTGAAATAAGTAGCAATCTTAACTTCCAAAGAAAAATCAACACCGCTCTCCATTATATATATATATATATATATATATATATATATATATATATATAGATGTAGACACCAACCATCTTATCTTAGAATATAGCATTATTGCTAAATTTGAGTCAACATTTAAATGTACACCACATTTTTCAGCCATTAATACTTTTCTTGATTCAGAATCAGTTACTTAGCAAATAATCACTTATTTGAGCTGCATCAATAGTCTATTTCTGCAACACACCTTGAACAATATTCAATCAAGAAAACAACAAGGGTCTTTCTTTCAATGAACCCTGATATTGTAGAGATAATTATATAGCTTGTGTTGTTTCTATTGCATAATGGTGCTGCAAAACATGAAGGAGCAACTTGCTTTGGCGGTTAGAAGTATTCAATGGAGCTATGTGATCTTCTGGTCTGAATCTGCTAACCAACCAGGGTAAGATATAAACTGTTTTATTCATAGTAGTTCTTTCAAAACCTGAAATCTAGTGTTGAGTTTTCTGCTACTATACTTGTTGCTTTAAGGGTTGTTGCTAATAAGTTATTATATTCAAAATCGATTTTGAACCCGTTTCTATTGATTAATTTGAGTTTGTCGCACTTCTGAAACTATTTGACTTAGTCGTCTCAAGTTTTTAGAGATTCTGTGTAGAATAGTCGCAGTTTAATTATGTTTATGACAAAACAAATAGAGATTTTATTTAACTAAGGTTTAGCTGTGAACATTTTGAGGCCTTAGTCATTGTTTAATTGTGACAAATTTTGGATGCTATGTGATAGTCTGTCTTGCACGTCCTCAAATACGGGCTCTTCTATTAGAATAGACTATTTAATAGCTTATGTATAAGCACTTATGAGATAAGCTGTTTATCTGAACAAGGCTTTTTCGTTGATCATTTTGCAGGGTGTTGAGTTGGGGGGAAGGATATTACAATGGAGATATTAAGACAAGGAAAACAAGTCAAGGAGTGGAACTTAGTTCCGACGAAATCGGCTTACAGAGGAGTGAGCAATTGAGAGAGCTGTTTGGGACTCTGAAACCTGTAGAAACAAGTCCTCCAACAAAAAGGCCTTCTGCAGCACTGTCACCAGAAGATCTCTCAGATACTGAGTGGTATTATTTGGTTTGCATGTCCTTTGTATTCAACATTGGCCAAGGGTAAATTAATCTCATTCATCTTTTTCCTTTGAAAAGTGTGCGTAGTCTTAATTATCCTCAAATTTGTGTGTGTGCGCGCATATGTTTTTAGGTTACCAGGAAGAACTCTAGCAAATGGCCAACCAATTTGGCTGATCAATGCTTATTCTACTGATTGTAAAGTGTTTAGTCGCGCTCTCCTCGCAAAGGTAGGTTTCTCGACCTTGATTGTTCTTTCTTCTGATTTTGAAATGAAATGAGTCAAAAGTGCTCAGTAGCACCGACACGTCTGAAAAAAGGTATGTCTATGTCCGTGTCTGTACCTGTGTTTCATAGCTAAAGTGTAAAAAAATGATCTTGTTTCTTTTGTTTTATTTCATAAACACACTTGTAACATTTGTCTTCTCTCTTGCTCAGAGTGCGTCTATTCAGACAGTGGTGTGTTTTCCTTTTATGAACGGGGTTATTGAGCTAGGCACAACTGATCTGGTAAGTTTATCGGTTTTTCCATTCGTTTTTTAACATCAATGCTAATATTCTGTTATTTTCCCCTCGAATTCTTTTAATCATGCTGCTGAATTCTTCTCTCCTTTGTGTGAAGGTAATGGAAGATCTCAGTCTCATTCAACAGATCAAAACTTCTTTATCCAATATTCTAACTGTCGATGATGATCCTATTAACGTTCGAGCTACATTGCATCCAAGAAATAACGAAGATGTTGCTTGTGTGGCAGCGTTTGATCATGATGACTATAATGTTGAATATGACATAATGAATAGAACAACCTCTCCTAATGGCAGTTCAAATGCATTACAAACCAATCAACTACGAGATATGGTTGAAAGCTGGCATGTTATCGAAGATGATTTGAGCAATTGTGTCCATAACTCCGTGAATTCAAGTGACTGCATATCACAAACTATTGCTTCTGCTCCTAAGGGTAGAGGAGAAGATTGCAACAATGACCAAAAAATGACCTTAGTGGATCCCTTAAGTGAGGATTGGCACTATCAGAAAATTCTTGCAGCGCTTTTGAAAAGCAATGACCAAATAACAATGGAGATGCATTTTCAAAACTTTCATCAGGAATCAAGCTTTTGTGTTTGGAACAAAGGAGGGGCATTGGATTGTCATAGGCCAAGACAAGGAACTTCACAAAAGTTATTGAAGAAGATCTTGTTTGAAGTTCCGCGGATGCACATGGATGGTTTGGTTGAATCTCAAGAAGAGAATGACTATAGAGAGGGACCGAGACTCGAGACTGATGAAGGTATGAACCATGTTTTGTCTGAAAGAAGAAGAAGAGCAAAACTAAATGAAAGGTTTTTAACCCTTAGATCAATGGTCCCTTCAAATAGTAAGGTAATAGTTTACTTAAATTTTAGTCATCATATTTGTTTGTTAGCTTGGTCATTAA